CCGTGGGGAAAATCAACTTTAAAGGTAGAGAACAGGAATATGAAATAATCCCCTGCGGCCAACTACGATAGCTACGGAATCTCACCAGAAAAGTGTGAAGCAGCTTGGTTACAATCTTTAAGGAAAGAGTTTCTCAAACAACCCTTTTAGACCTTTACCATGTGGCCAACCTAACTGGCTAAATAAAATAGTACATCAAACATTTCAGGTCTCACCCTCAAATTTGGAAAGTTATCCCCCTGTCCTGGCCCCACTCCTGTTAATTTCAGCACATTTAAAGTCTGTGTAGCCTGTGAGGCAATGGGCAGGCTACCCAGTTCAGCCCGGTGCTGTGGTTATTTGCTTTCTGCATCACAGTGTGTCTGGAATTCCAGGAGGCTGGCAGTATGACTTAGACACTTGGTATACTTTTTTCTAAAAGCTGTCATGAAATTTGAGAAAACCTTTTAGAATTCAAATGAGGCTAGTTGCTCTTTCCAGCTGTTTTTCTAGATCATTTTCCAGGAGAAAGGAAAGAGTTCATAAATCACATGGGGGAAGTGATAATACCAAAGGCTGATAAAATCCAAAATCATGGGGCTGGGTTTGCTTTCTGATCACCCAGCCTCATGCTCTAATTTGGATCTAGGACTCCAGGAGAAAAGACTTGCCGTGTGATTTTAGAGCTTCTGTTGACTAATTCCAAAGCACTAAGCATTGTCACTTATTTTTATTTTTCTAAAAGTAATACTCAGTTGTGAACTAAAAAGGGCCACATACTATACCTGACAAGCTCAAGGGAGGCCAGCAAGGCAGGTCCTGCAAACTCAGAAACCTAAAGTAACCACGTAGGATGGTCTGAACATGAAAATTTCTAAGTAAAAGCGGGTCATGAGGGTAGTCACGTCCTAGGCCTGTAGCTTCCCTGACAAGGTCAGCCTTTACCTGACGTGAGCCTGTTTGTTTTCCTTTTGCATCTAAGATAACACCGTACCTTTGAAATGTCAGCATTATCTCCTTTTCCAGGCCCCTCAGGGCACAACCTCTGCACCAGAGCAGAGATCAAGAACCCCTCATTGTTATCTTGTTCCCCTAATACCATCTCTGTGTGCTGTAATGTTAATTTTTATCTTTCCTGTACCATCTCTGTAAAAGAAGTGTGTGTGTCTCCATTTTACTTTTTATCCAGTATCAGAGGTTTCCCTGCTTTGCTTGCTTCTGCCTGCCTAGTCTATCACCAGTGGATTTCATGTAACCCTCTTACATCTCCTCCTCTGATTCTGACCTATAAAGTAAGCTGCCAAAGTGCCATTATCCAGAGCATTTTCTCAGTCCGTTGAGATTTTGCTTCCTGTCAATTGATGTCAATTTGGCTCAAACAAGCTCATAAAAATTTTCTACAGGTTTGGATGTTTCTTACACAAGGTAAGGCTTCCCAACTCCCTTTTCTACCATTGGCAAAAGAATATTTATAGTAGTTAAACATTCTTCAAAACCTAGAGAGAGCCATTTAAGAAGCAGAAAGTATTTAGTAATCCTTGCATTTCTGCTCTAACCTGTTACTCATTGACACAGATGAAAGCCCTATGAGTCAGTGAAAATGAAAGGACACTGGAAGGCTTAGTCCAGGTTTTCTGCTCAATCATCATCTTCTGAGTCACCTAAGCTATAAGCAATTTCTTTTTCTCAGGGGAGTTAAGTATTTCTTCTATATGTAGCTACACATCACAGATTAACCACGTTTGGTTTGGTTTTGTAGCATTCAGTGGCTGCCTAACTTATTTGGCATTTTTTAAATGAAGAAATAAGAATGTTATTACTTCAAAGTCATTCCCAGCATCTTCCAGGGGCACAGAAAATCCCAAAATAACTGAGCTGGGATTGAGCTCAGAACCAGACCCAGCCAGCACTGGTTGGAAGGATTTGCTCCTTCATGCTCATCTCATAGTGCTTTTGATTCATATTTGTGCCCCAGAAAAATTATGGATAACTTCACATTCTAGATATTGAGGTTTTCTTCCAAGCAGGAGAAATAAATTTTGAGGTATGTTTGTAAATGATAAGGGACTACCAGGACATACCATATATTCCTTCTACTTCCTGAAGAACAAAGCAACTCACAAAAGACAGGAATACAATGTGACCCATCATTTCCACTCCTAGGGATGTACCCAAAAGAATTGAAATCAGGTCTTAAACCTTGTACATGCATGTCTACAGCAGCACTACTCACAGTAGTCAAAGGAAGGGAACGACCCCCCATGTCCATCCACATTTGACAAAATGTGGTATATCCATACAATAGGCTCATATTTAGCCATACACAGGATACATGCTCATCATAGAAGAATCTTGAAAACATTATGCTAAATGAGACAAGCCAATCATGAAAGGACACATACTGGATAACTCCACTTATATGAAACACTCAGAATAGGCAAATTCATAGAGAGAGGAAGCAGAGAGGTAGTTGCCATGGGCTGGGAGGATGGGGATGGAGAGGGACTGCGTAACAGGTCAAGAAAGACAAGAAGCATTCCAGAAAAGAATTTCTTTTTTTAATTTTATTTTTCAATTACAATTTACTTTTGATGTTATTTTGTATTAGTTTTAAGTGTACGCATAGTGGTTAGACAATTATATACTTTACAAATTATTCCTTCTGATATTTCCAGTACCCATCTGGCACAATAGTATATACACTATATATATATTCAAACTATAGTTATTACAACATTATTAACTATATTCTTTATGCTATATTTTACATTCCTCATTAACTATTTTGTACCAATTAGTACTTATTAATCCCTTCATATTTTCCACCCACCCCTCCAACTCCCCCTCTCATCTGGCAACCATCTGTCTGTTCTCTGTATCTATGAGTCTATTTCAGTTTTGTTTGTTTGTTTATTTTGTTCTTAAAATTCCACATATAAATGGAATCATATGGTATTTGTCTTTCTCTGACTGACTGATTTCACTAAGCATAACAACTTCTGTGTCTGCCCATGCTGTTGCAAATGTTAAGATTTCATTATTTTTATGGCTGAGTAATATTTTTTTTGCATATATGTACCACTACTTTTTTTATCTACCCATCTATTGATGGGCACTTAGGTTTCTTCCATATCTTGACTATTGTAAATAACACTGCAGTGAACATAGCGGTACATATACCTTTTCAAACTAGTGTTTTGGGTTTCTTTGGGTATATGCCCAGAAATGGAATCAGTCATAAAACAGTTCCATTTTTCATTTTTGAGGACCCTCCATACTGGTTTCCACAGTGGCTGCACCAGTCTGCCTTCCCACCAACAGTGCAGAAGAGTTCCCCCTTCTCCACAACCTCACTAACACTTTTTGTTTGTGGATTAATAATAACAACCATTCTGACAGGTGTGAGGTGATATCTCATTGTCATTTTCATTTGCATCTCTCTGATGATTAGTGACATTGAGCATCTTTTCATATGTCTATTGGCCATCATTAGAGAAGTGTCTATTTAGCTCCTCTGCCCATTTTTTAATTGGATTGCTTGGTATTTTGTTGTTGAGTTGCATGAGTCCTTTATAAATTTTGGATATTAACCCTTTATCAGATGTATCATTGACAAATATCTTCCTCCATTCAGGGGGTTGTCTTTTTATTTTGTTGGTAGTTTCCTTTGTTGTGGAAAAACATTTTAGTTTGATGTAATCCTATTTGTTTATTTTTTTTCTTTTGTTTCCCTTGCCCAAGGAGATATATCAGAAGGAAAAAATGTTGCTAAGAGGAATGTCTGAGATTTTACTGCCTCTATTTTCTTCTAGGAGTTTTATGGTTTGGGGTCTTACATTTAAGTTTTTAATCCACTTTGAGTTTATTCTTGTATATGGTGTAATAAGGTGATGTAGTTTCTTTCTTTCTTTCTTTCTTTCTTTCTTTCTTTCTTTCTTTCTTTCTTTCTTTCTTTTGCATGCATCTGTTCAATTTTTCTCAAAAGAGAATTTTGGGTTAAATTGACTAAAACTCGAGTAGAGAGCATGGAGAAAGGTCATCCTAGGACAAAACGTACCAGCTACTCTATTTTCCTCACTTCGTTCATGGGAATAAAAATATCAGTCCCTTGTACCCCATGAAGAGATGTATGACCTGGGACAAGTTACTCAGGCTCTCTACACCCCACTTTTTTCACCTGAAAAATGGAGATCAGAGCAACTGCTAACTCTCACTCCCTAGCTCTCATAGCCTTTAATGTTTGTCTTTGCTACTGAAATGCATGCTCCTCTCCGAGAGCAAGGTCTGTGCCATTGTGTGCACTCCTGTTCACCCAGGACCCATCCCAGGGCCTGACACTTATGAGGAACTTGGTGAACATTTGCTGAATGACCGAGGATGAGAGCAGTTCACCTGGAGAAGAAAGGGCTGTAGGGGCCATAGGAAAAGCTGCCCTCAAGTCCCTGAAGGGGGATCATTGGTGAGAAATGAAACTTGTCCTTCATGCTGTTCTGGATTCAGTCACTAAGACAATTGGAACCTGCAGACATATCTTTAGTTCTGTGTTTTAAGATGAAATGCACCACTTGGACAAGGAATGACTTTCCTTACTCGAGAGGTACTTAGTCACCTCTCAAGTCAGGGAAAGGACTAAATAATAGTTTGAAAATCATTTGGCCATAGTTTTAAAAAGAGTCCATGTTTGAGTGGGTATTCAAAGTAAACATACCTTCAGGTCCTTTTCAGACCTGAAATTCATTTGTTTCTGATTTCCTTCCTGCATTCAGACAGCCACTCACTGAATGTTTCTTGCTGTACCAGGAGCAGTGTTGCTGGACACTGGGTAAAAGAACGAGTTCTCTCATAATCCCTGGCCTCAGAGATCTCACGGTCTTAAGGGGCTATGGACAGGAAAACAAATAATTACAACAGGATATTAGTCTTCTCTGTGTAATAGGTAATATATATATATATATATATAACAACAGGATATTATTCTATTATTCTTCCATATCAACACTCATTGTGTTTGTCTTTAATAGTGCACCAAGACTTGTGGGGAAGGCACCAGGTACCGCAGGGTGATGTGTGTGGACGAGGAAAAAGGCAGCGAGGTTCATGGTGTGCACTGTGACAGCAGCAAGCGGCCTGCCGACCACAAGAGCTGTAGTTTGCAACCCTGCGAGTACATCTGGATCACAGGAGAATGGTCAGAGGTATGTCCTGCGGATTCTATTACTGTAGTTTCCAGGTCAATGATGACATGAGGGAAGCAGAGTACAAGAATGTGGGAGACTCAACCCACCTGCCAGTTCTGCCTGTGAGCACTGAGTTCTCTGAAAAGTTCCTCCTCCGTCCTTGGCCAGAGTCCTTGGCCCATGTGTGTATATTGGGGGAGGTGCATGAGGTGGTCTGAGCTCCCCAGAACCCTCCGTTCCATGATTCACCTTGATGTCCTGTTGGTAAGATTAGGAAGAAATTATTACAGGGGCTGCAAATTCATAAGATGCCTCTCAGTGCCTGAAGAGAGTTAAGTATAAGAAAATGTGTCAGCGTCAGGAAGACAGACTAGTAGACGGTGTGTGATGGGACAGGCTCTGTCCCACTCTTGTTGAGACCATGCGGAAGTGTGGGTCCAATCTTACCAAACTTGACTTTTCAAGAGATGTCAAAATCTGGAATTTTCTCTGAGATCTCCTCATTTTAAAGTATGGACTCCAATCACGCATTTGAAACATTATTTAGGGCAAACCAAATACATTCATGGCCAAATTTGGGTTACCCATTTAACAACTTTTGATCTCAAAGAACAAAATAATTTTCCATATTATCCAGGGAATCTCAAGTATCTATTTTTTGCTCTCTTTTCCAGATACAGTGCCTATCTGCACACTCTTTATTATTAATCCATCAATAGTAATAAAAGCATGACTACACTATTTTCAAACTTCATGCTCTTCTCAAATACTGAAAGATCTATAACATCAAAACCAGTTGCCATTTGCCCAAAAGAATTCAGAGATGTCAAGGGAAGCATCTGGACTCACAGCAACAGTGCTTGCTGTCACTGGGTCTCTTCAAGTTTGAGTGTGTTGAGTGGAGGATTGTTTCTGTGCTAAAGGTGATCCTAAAGTCCTTCCTACCTCTGCCTCTCCATCCTTCCCTCTACTCCAGGGATTTTGTCACCTCTCCCTCCTAGGGGACATTTGGCAATGTCTGGAGACATTTTGGACTGTCATGACCTGGGGAGGTGAGAGGCCCCCTAGTAGGCCAAGGATGCTGCTGAAGCCCCTCTTGTGCATGGGGCACTCCCATCACCTCAGCCAGTCTTTGGTGTGTTGTTATTATTCTGCTAAAGGAGTTTCGCTTTCCTTCTAAGACTTGAGCCATGTTACTACTATAACTTTAGTAAAACCTTAATCTTAACCCCTGAAAGATGAGATAGAGAGACAATTTTTTTTAAAGAAAAAGAAGGAAGAGGAAAACACAGCCTACCACACATTTGGAAATTCTCAGATGTATCATAGATTTTAAAAAATCTACAAATGTACAAGCAAAATTTAGAGGGTTACAGACAGGGCCTCCCACAGTTACAAGGAACATAGGGAAGGGACCCTTTAAGAGAAATATTGCCAAAGGGATGCAGCCAGAATTCCCTCTAGAGGAGCCCTGTCACCTGGGGTTCTTGGTACTCTTGTCTGCACATGGCCCCTCCTGAATCTGAGATGGCTGGGGCCCTGTCGGAAAGCAGGGGTTCCCTCAGCCCTGGCTGATACATTTCCCTGTTGGGCCTGAGTGTATTACTGAGGCAAGGAGCCCACATCCTTACTGTTTCACTTTACATTACTGTTATTTTCCAATTAGAAAGTAAGCCACATTCATGATGAAACAAGCGTGTGACCTCGAAGCAGGGAGAATCAACAGTAAGGCCTCCCACAACTCTGTCCACCCTCTGCTCTCCAGAGACAAACCTCCTGCACATCTAACCTCTAATCTGAAATGAATAAAGGAAACCAGTGGCAGCATGTATTCTTTCCAGATTGTTTTCAGAGATGTGGAGGCTTCTGAATAAAACCTGGCCATATTTGGGTTCCGTTCCATCAGCACATGCCTATCTGCCACTGCATCGTGGCATAAGTGGCCATGGCGCTGCTTCGGTTTCTGCTTTGCAGGGGTCCAGTTCCCAGTACTTCCCTTCTCTGACGTACAGCCCTGTCTGAATCCATACAGACTGAGGTCACTGCATGCAGCGCTGGGGTGGACACTCTGAAATACTGCAGTGTGAACAGAGCATTTGTTAGCCATCTGTCTACACATGAAATACCCCGGACTAGCCTCACACTGTCCTGGCCTGGCATCAGCTGAGTCTTCGGGCATTTGAACAGTGCAGCCAAAGAAGGAAGAAATGTACCCATAGCATAGCTTACGCAGGTCTTGAGCCAGCTGGAAGGAATGCTCTGCGTGCCTCTGGCTGGGCCTGTTCCCTCCTGCCTCGGGGGACAGCTTCAGGAAAAGCCTTCTCCCTGGAAAAGTTTCGGGAAAGGAAAGCCATGTGGCTTAAAGTAAGAGATCAGGAGACGTTAGGAAAGAGCATACTGCGGCTTTTAATAGCAAGTAAGAACTGATGGAAGCTTCAGTCCCTCCCGTCAGAAAAGGGGCACGCATTGCAAGCCGCACACTGTCACTGCGGCTTCCCCTCCCTCCTCAGAGAGCCTTAGGTCTCAAAAGCCTCGTGTTCTACCTTAATTTGTGTGGCATCTTCACTGGGGATGGCCAGTTATTTCATGGCTCTGACTAAAAATATTATCAAAACTAAATCTGTTATAATTCATATTTATTTTTAAATAACATATTATATAAAATACTTAGCTGGGGAACATTGAACAGGTTATAACTAATCAATTAGATGTCCCCTCACAGAAGGGAGCGGGGACATTAATAAGACATTCATTCCTTCTCCTTTTCTGTATCTCTGGGTATTTTTAAATGCATTCTACTTATGGCAAAAAAGGCTAAATGACTCCATGATAGAGAGGGAAAGAGAGAGAAGCAGAAAGTTAACATTTTAATCAATATATGCAGCCAGGGAGAGGGAAGAGAGAAGGACATTCGCTGGAGGTCAGATGGAAAAGCAGGCAGCGTTGAGTAGGAAAGGAAACCGTCCCAGGGTCCTCTTTTGGCTGAGTGCTTGGATTTCACACTCTCCTCAGATGGACTCTGGCTCTCTCTCCATCCCACTTGGTCAGTTCTCTGATGTGGTCATTGTAGGTTTAGAAAAACATGATTTGTCAGCCAGTGTGTGGGCTGTGCAAGCTGTAAATTGAACCAATGACAGCTGGAACTCGCACCCTCCCCGCCTCCCTCTGCCCTTGAACTCCAGAGAAGAGGCTTGAGGCGCTCCTCCCACGGCAGACGGGCAGTGGGAGCACTAGACCTATGCCGCGGCAGCGGTCCGTCACGTAGGATGCCCATGTCCTGTGTGCTGGGGCTGCTGTCCAAAGTGCAACAGCTAAAAAGCCGAGAGCCTCAGCAGCATTGTCACAGGTTCGGCCTGCCGGGCGGAAGGCGTGGGTGTGCTGGGGCTGCCCCCAGGCCCTGCTCCAGCCTCTCCCCTCACCCTTCTCTCCTCAGTGCTCAGTGACCTGCGGAAAGGGCTACAAGCAAAGGCTCGTCTCCTGTAGCGAGATTTACACTGGGAAGGAGAATTATGAGTATGGCCACCAAGCTGCCACCAACTGCCCAGGCACGCAGCCCCCCAGTGTCCACCCCTGCTACCTGAGGGAGTGCCCCGTCTCAGCCACCTGGAGAGTGGGCAACTGGGGAAGCGTAAGTAGATGACTGACTCATCAAATCGGAAAGCTTTCGGATCACAAACCCCATCTTAAGCATAGCCTGCCTGACCTAGCCAAAGTTATTCTCCTTCTCGAAGAGACCGTGGTGAGAAACAGCAGTTGGCACTTGAAATGGGCCTGTTTGGCAGTGTGGCCAGCCCAGGTGCTTAGCGCCTGGACTTTGAAGCCAGGCAGCCTTTGTCTGATTCCCAGTTCAGCCACTTCCCTGTCAAATGACCTTGGTCCAGCACAGAGCTTCTGAGTCTCAGTTCAGTGAACTGCAAAATGGGTGGTTGCGATTCAGACAAAAGGGGTTAATACAGAAAAAGCACTTATGTTATAATGACATGTTTTATGTTTCATGTATTCTCCACAATTTAAAATTAAAAAACACCTAGCACCTTGTCACTTAGTAAGTTTTCGTTGTTTCTTCTGTTGCTAAGAAGTCAGTGTGTTCTAGTCCTTCCACATTGTATCAGGAATCCTTCGTTGAAATAGGGGTACAAGTGAGAATGTTTTAAACTGGGGCTGCCCTGGGAAACCTTGACAGCCCCTGGCTCCTGACTGCTCAGTGCCACAAAGTGATCAGGCAAAAGTGCAGGACAAGCTGAAGGTGGTTAGCTTTTGAATCGTGGCTCTACCATGACCTTGAACAAATTTCTTAACAATTGAGCCCTATTCTCCCCTCTGTAAAACAAGAATAATGGAAGTACTATCTTAGGGTTATTGTAAGGCTTAAGTGAGAATATAAAGTTATATATGTCATATGTATGACTACATATGTAACTATGTAGGTAGATGGGTAGGTATGCATAAAATATATATATATAAAGCTCAGCACAAGAGATGGGTCCATAGTCAGTGCTCAACATGTTAGCTATTTGTTTCAGCAGCAGAGGGTCTAAATGACACACTGTACGTGCTGTGAGGACTTGGGCACCACAGCACAGAAGCCCAGGGCTCCCGGGTTCAGCGACCATAGCACTGATTCTGCTCTGGTTTGCAGTGCTCGGTGTCCTGCGGCGTTGGAGTGAGGCACAGATCTGTGCAATGTCTAACCAATGAGGACCAGCCCAGCCACTTATGTCCTGCTGATTTGAAGCCAGAAGAGAGAAAAACCTGCCATAATATCTATAACTGTAAGTTGGCCGAGTGAAGCCATCTTTCAGGAGCATGAAGAAAAGCATTTCTCTGTTTATTTGTTTGCCTGCCCATTTTGGAAATATAAAGTTTATTTTAAAGAAATCATCCCCTTGCCCGGACTTGTGTGGGTCAGTAGGATGGGCATTGTACCGCAAACCGAAAGGTCACCGGTTCAATTCACAGTTAAAACACATGCCTAGGTTGCAGGCCAGGTCGCTGGCTGGGAACATGTGAGGGGCAACCAATCATTGTTTCTCTGGCACATAGATGTCTCTCTCTCCCCACTTCCTTCCTCCCCCTCTCTCTAAAACTAAATAAATAAAATCTTTTCTTAAAAAAATGAAAGGAAAGAAATTGTCCCCTTTGCTGAAGAGCTTCAGTGTAAACAGTTAATTAATTGCATAAGGAGACATGGCCCACTGCAGAGTATCACATGTCACTTTTGCATCTCATGTTTTCTAGGTGAATTACCCCAGAACTGCAAGGAGGTAAAAAGACTGAATGGTGCCACCGAAGACGGTGAATATTTTCTGACCATCAAAGGAAAGCCCCTGAAGGTGCTCATCAGACATCAGGCCTTATTCCTCAAACGTCTTCAGAGTGAGTGGCCCTGGCTCTCATCTCCCCCTTTCTGAGCCACCCTCATGGGTTTTTCCTGGTCTGCCTTTCAGATATTCTGCGCAGGGATGCAGTCTGACCACCCCAAGGAATACCTGACACTGGTCCGTGGTGACTCTGAGAACTTCTCCGAGGTCTATGGGTACAGGTAGGAGAGCTCAGGCGCAGAGGATCCAGGCTCCTGGGGACTCCTGGAAATACCTTCCCATCCCCATCGGAATATTCTCTCTGTAATGCAGGTTGCACAACCCAACCGAATGTCCCTACAACGGGAGCCGACGCGATGACTGCCAGTGTCGGAAGGACTACACAGCAGCTGGGTTTTCCAGCTTCCAGAAAATCAGAATAGACCTGATCACCATGCAGATAATAAGTAAGTTCCGTGGGACATCAAGGATTAATGTGCTCTCTGGTCTCTCCATTCAGTCAGCATGGGGGCTGGAGCAAGGAGCCCAGGATGCAAAGAGGGAGTAGACCTATTGTCCTAAGGTACCTACAGGCAGGGATGCTCCTTTCTGTCCCCGGCTGTACCCCAGCCTGGAAAGTGCTGGTACAGGTGCTCCCTCAGATGTGCGGTTCAGAATAAATGAACAGGGGAGATGGAAGCATATTAAAGGACCCCATTAGAGTGGTGGAGTCAGAGCAGCATCCCCAAAATATGACATCAAAACTGAGTCCTTGAGATCAAGTAGGCGTTAGCCAGGCAGACAGTACCTGTGTGGGCATAACAAGGATGGTAGTGGTGTTTCTGAGTGAGAAGAAAGAGCGGACACAAAGCCCAAAACTGACAGATTCATGTGGTGCATTTGCTCCCCACCTGCTCCCACTAGTGCAATGTGCACACATATATGGACATAAAACTAATTTTATTTTATTATTGATTTACACAAGAAAAATGGAGCACAGAATTACCTTTTTTCAAACTGGCCTGCGCATGGGCTGGTTTCATACTCTGGCCAACACTGCGTTTTTGTTAAGGGCATTAATCATAGGAGTGGTTAAAGACAGCTCCAATAGCCAAACATGTTCCCCGGAACAGAGGAAAAACAGAAATAATGAATAATTAATTTTCCTCATTAACACTGCACCCATAATACTGCATTGCTTTCCTCTTGAGGTACATTAAATGTAATTTGTACCAATATATTTTTCATTGCTTTTAGCTAGACTGATTAGGGCTAATGGCAGAGGGTCTACCATTTCTCACTTAGAAACGCCCCACCATCCCTGCACCCCCCACCCTGGTTCTGCCAGGGCCCCTTTCCTGCAGGATGGGGGACGCAGATCTTCCTCCTACCAAAATGTGGTTAACTGCAGAAGATTCCAGAAAGACAAGGCAAGATGGTAAAAGTCTGTCTCTGGCTCCAGTTCCACCAGCGATGGTTTTTGCAGGATTCTGTTTGTCCCCTGATCCCCCTTCCCCGTTTGCAGAGCTGGTCTCAGAAGCTACAAGATGAGCCATGTTTTTATTGGCTTAAAGAAAAAAACAAACCCTAGAAGTTAGCCCCAAACTTGAGAAGCTGCCATTAATACTTTCAAGATGTGGGTTCTAATTGCTCCACATTTTGGCAATAATAGTGCTTGGGCCACGGGAGGACAGAGGAAGCCTCAGGGAGTAACTCGGAAGTAGCTGAAATGCTATTCTGACTTACTTCCCCTGTCCTGAAGCCCTGGGGGCCAGACCGCACGCAGGAGGCTCACAGTCATCCCATTGCATTACATTTAAGCAAGGCAGTTTACATATTTATTTATATAGGAATCAATTCCAAAGCTATCTTGAACCCCCTTTTTGGCTCCCTTGCTGTGAGGAGACAGGACTGATAAAACCCAGGGAGAGGCTCTCGGAACCACGATATAATGAGGAAACAGGCGAAGCACATCTGGATCCATTTGCTCACTAATCATACTGTGTTGGGTTTTTTTTTTTGTTTTTTTTTTTTTTTCCTTCCCCACTCCTCTTACTGTGTCTCTTACTATCCTTTCTCCCTGCTCTCTCCTTGCTAATATCTGGTCCCGTCCTGTCCCTGCCACTGTCACCTCTCTTCTCCCTTTCACCCTTCTCCAAACCCGACAGCCACTGACTTACTGTTTGCAAGGACAAGCGAAGGGCATCCCGTGCCCTTTGCCACCGCTGGGGACTGCTACAGTGCCAGCAAGTGCCCACAGGTAAGCTGGGAACCTGCCCCCGGGCTCGTTGGGCAGCTTCTGTCCCTGGGAATGCAGTTAGCATGGCCGCTGTGGAAAGCAACATGGCCCCTCAAATGCTCACAGCTTCTAATATCGTCTAATCCCACTCCTAGGAGTGTTTCCTAAAGAAATGATCATAGCTACATGCCAAACCTCTACATTCAGCAAAATGCACCTATTACAATGGTAAAAATTTAGAAACAAATTAGATGTTGGGGAGCAGACAGCTTGGTTAAGCAAATGACGAGGCCAATAAAATGAGTATTATGAAGTCAGTGTCATGCTGGTAAATGTTTAATGACTGGCTCTCCAAGAAAAAGAAAAAAAAAACGCCCTACTTTGTAGCATTTGCTGATTTCCATGGTGTAAGTATATTCTGCCCACCTGCTTTACTGATTTCAAGCCATCAACATTATGTTGCTAAATGGAGAGCTGGGGAGAGATACAATCAGCTCTCAAAAGCCAGTACAAATGGACTCCAACACACCACTATCAGCGTTAATAATCCTGATTATTACATGATAAAAAAAGCTGTCACCCTGACTGCAGATGTATATAAAACGTGCAGCGTTCAGACCAAGAACACTATGTCTTCCACTGTATTCACTCCTCAGCAGCGCAGGTGACAGCAGTCTTCCTGCCCATCTTGCAGTTCCACGCCTTCTTGTCTCTCTCCTCAGAGGTGTGACAGGTTTTAACTTGCCTTCTGAAACATGCTGTAACCCTCAGCCTGAGCTAACTCGGTAAGACGGCCATCAGTCTTTGCAAGAAGCTTCTGGAGTGAGAAGTCAGGACGAACAATGAGTTAGGTGATTCTGGTCAGGAGAACTTAGCCCCCATTTTTTCTTTGGTTCACTTAAGTTCCTCACAAGGCTGTTGTTAAACTTGGTGTCTGGAATTTCCCGTTCTGCCTGTGCACCTTGGAAAGTCTGAGGATTGGGTGATGCCTTCCGAACCCCAGGAAAGATTTACACCCAACCACAGGGACCATCCAAAGACAAACACATCTGAATTTTCTTTTAAGGAAGTATTTTCTCAGTCCCAAGCTTTAGAAAGCATTGCTAAACATTTTAGAGAAGTGAAAAGGAAGCTCTCAGGAGAGAAAGAAAATAAACAAAGGACATAATGGTAAAAAGGGCCTTTTCTCCATTACCCAGGAATTGAAAACTTTTGAAGTGTAGTTTCTTTAGAGCAGTTCATGACTTCAAAATCCCCATTGGTGAGGGTTGCATTTTAACAGCTAATAGATTGGTCCTGTCCTGCCTTTTTCAAGTCTCAGGGTTCACTTCTTTCTATATGCGCATCTTTTAGGAAGCTTAAACAAATGAAGTTAATTTGCATTCATTTGTTTTAATAATTCATAGACAATGAACTGATTGATTTGCTAAATCCTGACACTGAGGCAATTGCTAAATGAAAAAACCAAAGCCAGTGAAGGGCTAATTTGTATTTTTTTCTAACCCATTCTTCAAACCACATGAGATACTTCTTTTCCTTAGACATTTATTGAACAACCAACTATATAACTGAAAGACGTGAGTTTCTCAAATCAGTTTTCCAGGAAAGGTCTGGAAAGCACAATTGAGTGAGCTGCTTGGGAGTGGATGGTTTATCCTGACCTAGTGATTGCACAGAAACCAGAGTAGATGGGTGCCCTCTGTTTGACAGTCTGCTTTTTTCTCCTCATCTATTGCTGTTGCTTTGGGGATTTATTTATCAATAAAAGTGGGCTCCCCAAAAGCCCCCGCCTTAAGATATAGCCAGAATATCTTTTTTTAAAAAGGCCTCATTAGCCCTAACCAGTGTGGGTTACTCTACAAAGTGGAAGGTCGCTGGTTCGATTCCCCATCAGGGCACAGGCCTGGGTTGTGGGTTCAGTCCCCATCTGGGGTGCGTGCAAGAGGCAACCAATAAATGTTTCTCTCTCACATTGATGTTTCTCTCCCTCTCTCTCTTCCTCTCTTCTCCTCTCTCTAAAATAAATAAGATCTTTTTAAAAATAAATGAAGGAGAAAAAATCCTGATCACAGTGGATATGACGTTATTATTCATTTTTTTGATGCTCGTATTAGTAGCATTTATTGTGTTCACTAGGCTTTAGGCCCTATGCTCAGCATTTCTAAGTCAGCGTAGCATTTAATTCCTACAGCATTACATGAGAATGCTCCCCAGTTTACAGATGGGGATACTGAGGTGTAGAGAGTTTGCATAACTTGTCCAAACCCATACCACTGGTGCTTAGTAGAGGCTGGATTTGACCCCAGGTGTCTGGCTACAAATGAAAGACATGCTTGTCTGGCTGATCCTGTTTCCAGACAAGATTTCTGAAGTGTTCACGTTTGTCTGAGCAGAGAACAAACTCTGTCTAAGGCATACCTCTAGAAACTATTCTGGGTCATCTAGTATATGCATGACTCAATTACTTTTTCTCTTTTAAATCAGCAACAGAAAGTAGTAGCTAAAACTACTGCCCGTTGGACTCTGAAGATAAGGCTTTGGGGGCAAATATGTCCCAGACCAGAGCTAGAAAGGACATGAGGTCTTTACTCCTCCATCAGTACTCAACTTTTAGAGGGCCAATTATCACCTAGGGCACTTCACTCACAATGCAGAACCCTGAACCAGAAAAGGGGAAAGAGAACAAGGAGGAAGATGTGTTCCATTCAGGTAAATCCCCTGCTCTGCTCAGAGAGGGTAGATCTGTGTATGTAGTATGCTCAGACACTAGACACCCAGATCAGGGGGTAGGGGGGCATTCTCAGGCTGGAAGCTGGGTCAGGGGACTGGATCTTCTAACAACGCTGACATCTAAGCATATCAAGTCCACCTGAAGTGCTGGTAGTACAAGCAGTGTGCCTGGGAAGCAGGCTGGGGAGAGAGAAGTGAGAGGGGACCTTTGCAACAGTATGACCTGGACATCAGAGTGGGGGTGGACACCCTCCTCAGGGCAGGGATGACAGAGAGATAAAAGAACTTGGTCTGGTGGGAAAGATCCAGCACATAGAAGCCAGTGTCTGAGCAAGCTGGGCAAGGAGGGCTTTGCACCTCAGTACAGTTACAGTCAGGGACACCTGGGTGTTAAGACCACTCAAATTAACCACCCCCAGCACTGTAGAGTGCTGTCATAGAAAATTAAGAGAACACATTTTAAAATACCAGTTACTCTCTGTCAGATAATGAGTTAGGTGGATAATACCTTCTATCTAACCCCCTCTTATTCACAAGTTAGATCTGAGAAAGTTAAGTTGTATGTCAGGACCCAGAGAAAGTCTGCCCTCCTACTTCCCCCTCCAGCCTGGCGGATGTCACAAATCTGCTCCTAATTCAGCCTGAACTTACGGGAAATACCTCTCAGAGAAAGCTAACACACCAAACATTATCCTCCAGCTCTGCTTCAGTTCGCTTATCAGACCCTAGAAAATAGGGCTATTACTACCTTCTATTTTACAGATGGACAAGTTGAGGTTCTCATAGGCTAAAAAATGTATCCATCGTCTCATTGCCAGTGAAAGAGCTGAATTTACACAGGGCTGATTGGCTGTGAGTCTCCAGCTCACGGCGCCTTCTTGCTTTATGAAAGACTTTTGACAAAGTACTGGGGTGTAAGGCTCAGAGAGGAAGCGTTAACACTGAGCGTGTTCATGCGGAACATTTTTAACTTCGAAACTGTTCATGTGGAGTAAGAAACCTCAGGAAGACACTATTTCAAGTTGCCTTTGCAGAGTCATTTTTGAAAGAGAGAGAAAGAACAGAGACAGATGGGAAAAGCAAAAAAAAAAAAAAAAAAAAAAAAATCTCTGCTGCACCGTCTCCTTAGAAATCAATGTGGAAACAGTCGAGGTCAGGTATCCAAAGGGACCCTGGAGACTCTTGGGAGCTGTGGGTTCCCTGGGCCCGAAGGGGGCGGGCGGGTCCCAGGGTACTGGAGCGGGCCACGCGCGCCCTCTGCTGACGGTCCTGGAGACAGACCGCGCCTCTCCTTTGAAGTCCCGCCCTGCTGTGCTTAGTACCGCGAAGTGCCCCGACCCGCGGGGAGCTGAAGCCCAGGAAGCTTTGGCAGCGACATCTTGTTAGAAAAATTACACTGTGGCATTTTGTTCCTGAAGGAATCTGATAATTGTGAGCAACATCAGGGTTGCTGTGTTAGGCTAGAGTGAAGACTTGGAAATCAGAAAAATCTGAGTTAGATTCGCACTGCGTTCTGAAGAAATTAATCACCTTTGCTGGGCCTCAATTTCCCCATCTGTAGAGAAAACTTTCATAGAGCTCTTGCGAATATGGGTAAGATGATACTTGTAAAGTGCCTGCCCCAGACCTACACCCCCCCAAAAAAAGCCCCTCAATAATTAGTAGCTATCGTTATTAATTACTACCCATCTCCTTTCCAAGTTGACAGCTAAGAGCACATGTGTGCTTTAGAATGTGCCCTGAAATTGTAAAGCTCTTTCCTATCCCTGCCCTCCAGGATCCATATATTACTGTGTTTCAGTGACCCACGGGAACAAAAAAATAATTCACTGCCCAAAACGTAGTCAGACATCAAGCATGATTAAGTATGATAAAAGTATCGTGTGTGTGGCCTTTGCTTAGGGCGTCACCTGTACTAAAAATCTTTTTCGTTGTCCATTTTTCCAGGGTCGTTTTAGCATCAACCTTTATGGAACAGGCCTTTCTGTAACTGAATCTGCCAGATGGATATCACAAGGGAACTATGCTGTCTCCGACATTAAGAAGTCACCGGTAAGGTTACCGATTAGCTAGGGGATAAGTTTTGTTTTCTTTCTTTAGTCTTCCCTCTCTTCCTCCTTCTGCCCTCTGTGGTGGTAAGAATGCGCTGCCCCAATTCTTCAAACCATTTTGGAAAGTGTCAGAAAATTTAGGAAGTAAATCAAAGGCGAAGGGTGTATAGGTGAGCAGGAGAGAGCCTTGCTTGTCTTCGGGTGAATTCTCCCTGGAGATGGAGCATGCGAACAGGGTTGTTGGAAGGATGCTAGCCAGGAAGCTGGAAGCAGCAAGCAGCCTCTAAGAGAGTGCATGCATCAGACTCCTTGCAATTAGTCAAGATAAGATTTGCTTTTATGAACCTCGGGAGAAGAATGTTTAAGAAATATTGAAATGCAAATAGAGCTGAAAGAAAAAGATAACTAGGTGAACTTTCTGGAGAGTCAGGAACAGTCATAGGTTCTGCAACAATGTTTTTCATGCTCTAAAATCTCGCTACGCAAGGTATGATCCATGTAGAGCAGTGATTTTAAACCTTCATCTCAACTCACACATAAACTAATTATTAAATTCTGCGGCACACCAAAAAAAAATATTTTTTGCCGATCTGACCAAAAAAATAAGTAAGCGGTAATTTTGATTCATTCACACCAGACAGCTATTGTCGGGTTGGCTGTTGTCATGTTGTTATTTGACAGTCTAAAGGAAAAGAGGTCAGTGCCTCAGACTAAATAGACAGGTATCGCATGTTTTAAAAATTCTTGCAGCACACTGGTTGAAAAATCAGTGATGTAGAGAATCAGGATCACCTGGGAGCTTGTTGAAATGCACCTTCTGTGGCCCTGGAGCCTCTGAGTCAGCTTCTACAGCTGGACAAAGTCGCCCGGTTGTTCCTTATCATGGTGCAGCTTAAGCCCTGACCTCAGCTTGGATGTACGTTAGAATCACCAGGAAGAGTTGAAAATGTGAGTGCCCTGGTCCCACCAGAGTCACTGAGTGGGAAGCTCTGAAGCAGGGGTAGAATTTGGAGTTGCCGAGGTGATTCTAATGTTCAGCAAGGGCAGAAACCTCCGCCCTTCACAGTGTCCCTCAGAAGTTCTGAAAATGTGCGGCAGTAACCCTGACCTGTGGACAAGTGGGAAACTTACCAGAAAATGGCCTAGGGCCCCAGTCCTGCCTACCTATGACCCCTGTCAGGGTCCCTTCAGAAGTGTGAGGAGGGGAGGGGGAAAAGAGAGAACTGGAAAGTGGGGTGTTATTCTACAGTAGGGCTGCCAGACAGAATACAGTGTGCCCAGTTAAATTTGAATTTTAAGTAAACAAGGAACAGTATTTACTGTCTTAAACATCACATGGGGCATGCTTATTCTAAAAAGCATTTGTTGTTTATTTGAAACACAGCTCTGTTGAGCATCCCATATTTCTATTTGCTAAACCCTATCAAAATCAGACTATAGAGAAGCAGCTCTCTCTGCTTCCCCCAGGAAAGGAAGAAACACCCAATTGTGACTTCCCTGGAAAGTCTGAGTTTCCTGATGCTTTGTTTTAAGTGGCCAGGATTATATTTGTGTATATGAAAAACAAAACAAAACAAAACTATCTCACTCCCTCTTGTCTCTAAGTCACCTCTAATCTCATTGATTGCTCATAAATTAACCATTACATATTTTTCCTTGCATTGAGGAATAAAGACAGCTGAGAGCACACATGGGCTTTAGAATGTGCCCTGAAATTGTAAAGCTCTTTCCTATCCCTGCCCTCCAAGATCCATATATTACTGTGTTTCAGTGACCCACAGGAACAAAAAAATAATTAACTGCCCAAAACGTAGTCAGACATGAAGTATGATTATGTAGGAAGTCATCTATGTAAACTGTGTAACATAAGTTTCAACTCCATTTGGCAGCCAGAGTCAGTATTGCAGTTTCATTCGGGAAACTGAAAGTAAGTATAGCCGGGAGCGCCACCTTATGGAAACAATGATTACTACCTGGCCAAGATCCCCGAGCTATTCCCCAAGCATTAAGCTAAAAATAATTACAGCGGGAGCGCCGCCTTGTGGAAACAATGTTTACTACCCGGCCCAGGTCATCGAGCTGTTCCCCAAGCCTTGAGGCCAAGTTCCCCTTGTGTTGGAGGGAATTGGTTCCACAACCTCCTGTCAGAATTTCCTTTTTCAACCTTGGTGTTCAATGACAGCTCAGGCAGCCTGAGCTCAAAATTAATCTCCAGGGAGTGTGGAGCATTCCTTATGCCTCCCCTGAACTGAGCAGTCTCTAGTTGTAGGCAGGCTCTACAAATGCAGTTCTCCAGGCCTGACGTACTGTGCAGTCCACAGAGGCACATCCGCTAGGGACGCTCCATGAAAATAGGTCCCCACAAAGACACTTGGAAGGAAATTGCTATTTTATTTCCTCCTTGAAGAGTCCCAGTAAGCACTGAGATATCAGGGTTGGAATAAAGTATCCAGTGTGGCTTTATTCAAACCAGAGTTCACCTAAATCAGTGGTTCTCATACCTGAACCTACATCAGCAACCCCCCCAGGACCGACTTAAACACAGCCAGCTGAGGGACGGCCCTGAATGGACATTTCCAACAAGTTCCTAGGTGATGTGATGCCCTGGCCTAGGACCAGCTATTGAAAACTACTGATGTAAGTTAAACCAGACACAAAATCTTCTTTTCAAAGTTACACCTTTTAATTGACATGAACAACCAGTGTCCCATGAAATACTCTTTGGAAAAGTACTCCATGCCCTCCTCCCACCCTTACTGGCCCCTGCCCCTGAGAGGCCCCCCACCAGGAGTCACAGCCCTCTCCAAACAGCCCTGCTGTGACTCAGCTCTCAGACGGTCATTCCTCACTTTCCTTCACTTTTCTGCTGAGAGCTGCAGAGGGAAAAACATAATGAAAACCTCACTTTTCCAAACCCCCTGGGCAATAAAATATTTCTTCCAAGCAAAACTAAAGGAAAATTCTAGTCATTCAGGATCAAACTGAATCTCCCGAACCACTTGGGAGGCAGGAATGGTGTCTCACCATCAGGAACAAAACTGGTAAAAATAAGTCTCAGTGGCAGGGTCATTGTTACCTCCCATGTGTGTAATATAAAGAACTGTCCCATTCTTAACTAATAAATATAATTTTATAACCAGAATAGCTACTATGTATTGGGCAACTTACATGCATCAAATCCCATTCCTCCAGCGTTCACATCAAATTCTTGTGCGGGTAACTTGAGAAGGTGGATAGAGGGTAAGTAGGTGTGTGATGTTTTTGGTGGTGGAATTCATGCTCCCCTCACCCTGCTCCCCCAGCAGCAGCCAGCCCTTGTTGGCTGCAAAGCTTGGCCACTGAGCGGACTCTTAAGTTGAATTGCCTGAGCATGTCAAGTTGGATCAGCTGAGCATGCGCTTTCTAGCTCTGCCATGTTAGTAAAGTTATTAAACTTCCTGGGGGGCCTTGATTTCTTTATCTATAAAATAGAAATCTTGGTAGCCCTTATCCCACGGTGTTTATAATAATAAGTTAGGAAAACAAAGCTGTTTGCATGTCACAGGGCAATCAGCAGGCCCCCATCAGTATTAGCTGTTAATGTTACAACATTTTCACAGCCCTGAGGCTTGCCATAGGTTTTAGAGGTTGGTTGAGGTGACAAAGGAAGCAGGCTTGCATGAGATAAAGAGTGGAAGGTCAAGTCTGAGCCAAGACTGAGCCTGGGCCTGGCTAGAACCCACAGCCCGCCCCACCCCCACCCCGTGCATTCTGTCCATCTGAGTTCCCACCGCCCCCGGGAGTGAGGCATGTGGGACGCCCCCTTGGCCTAGGGACAGACTCCCAGACAAAGGCTTTAGCTGTACCTGTGTGGCTCAAGGGCTGATGTTTTTCTATTCTGCTTGAATGTTAGGGACAGAAAGACAGAAAGGGGAGCACGGCTCAGATGTGAGACTGGGGAGAAAATGTTGAAATTCTGAGCTCCCCTGCAGTAACATTCTGTGCACACTCAACATGTGGTGGATGTGCTCAGGATCTGAACAGGCCCGCAGCCCATCCAGAAGTGCCCTGCGGCTCCACGCCCGTGCCCAGAACTGCTATGTGGCCCTCTGCCTGGGAGTCACTTCTGGAACAGTCTTCAGAGCCAGGCAGAAGGAAGCAGGGGTCCCCAGGGCCTTGCTGACATTCCTTGTGCCGGGGAAGAGCTGCACACTGAAGACTTGCTCTGAAATTAAAGTGAGTGAAGCTATACTGCCATAGAGGAGGTAATGAACCAGTGCCCATCTTTCAGTTCATTCACAGTGAGCAGGGTGACAGTAACAGGAAGTAAGTGTGTGTGTGTGTGTGTGTGTGTGTGTGTGCGCAGAATCAGGTCTCCTCTATTCACCACGGACTGCCTCCTAACCCGCAATTCACTATGAAAATTCAACTATCCACCAAGTATAAACATCATACTACAGACCTGTGAAGTCATATCTTATATATGTACTGTGTATTCCTATAGAAATTAGACAACATTTATACATATATGTATATTTATGTTAACTGTCTGGGGTGATGTTAGAAAATGTGTGTATACACATACCATGTTTTATGGGCAACTTCACCACTAGCACACTCCAAAGCAACATTTAAGCACACTTCAGTGCAAGATGTGCTGGCTTTCCTAAGTCACATGGAAACCTTCCCTTTCATACTGACTGAGAAAACAAGAGAAATTAGGAAAATGTATGAAATATAAACACTGTCCTTAATGGAGCAGAGAGTCATTCATCTTAATTATATGTAAGAGCTCAAACCAGACTGGCTAACAAAATATTCATTGAAAGATTCATAGGCTTTATTTTTAGAAAACTTCATTTGTTTTAATGAAGAAATAACAATGATTTACAACTACTCTTTCTATTCAGGGTGAGTGGGTGCTTCTAAAGCACTGGAAAACAGACCTTTTTCTCTTAAATAGGCACTGTTTCCATGATAATCATGTTTATGATATGCATTTTTTCAGTTATTTTTACTATATTAAAAATAAGTTTTGAATCAGCTTTTATCTCAATCAAATTAACATAGTCCCAATTAATGATATAACATGAAAATTGCAAAGTCATTATCAGCAGTTTTATAATTACCCAGACTTTTCCTCATCTCCATGAAAACAGGCAATGCAGGCAATGATGGAAATCCACAGATAAAATGTACCTGTATGATAAACACAGCTAATGTTTGTTGAACACGAATATTAGACTAAGTCCCAGGCTAAGCACGACATGCATTCATTGATTTACAGCAAGCCTGTCAGGCAAGACTGATGTTATCCCCACTTACAGATGCCAGAGGAAACTGAGGCTTAAAGGATATTTAAAGAGGTAGCACAAGCTGTCTCACAGTTATCTCATGTCTAGGGCAGAAGAGAGTTTAGGTAAAACATAAACTTTGATGAGACAGAAGTCATTCGTAACATAATGGCATCCTTAAGACCACTAGCCCGATACTTCAACTTGGGGAGAAGGTTCCTGGCTAGAACGTTGATCTGGCATCAGATCTAGCTGGTTTTTGTCAGACTAGATGCAGACTTATCCTGTGCCCTTACAACCAGGGCCATGAGGGTGATAGAAATCTCCAACTCAATCTCACTAATAATCCAAGGCATGCAAATTAAAGAGAGAGACAGAAACTATTTCATTCTCTTTATTTGTTAAATTGGCAATTTTTTAGATAAGATCACCCATTATTTGCAAGAGACGTTCCCAGTTTGGCCAAAAGAGCCAAATCTTCATGCCTTTTGACCCAGTTCTGTGCGTGCAGCCCAAAGATATCCTGAAGTGCAGACACAAGTATGGTCCATCGCAGTGTCATTCCCAAGAGTGGGCTACGGGAAACACCTAAGATGCCGAACACTGTGCAGGAGTGAAGGGGTGAGGGTGAGGGGCCCCTAGCATGACATGGTAAATTTACACATTGGGATATGATACCACAATTAAAAAAGAAGTTCTTCATCGCATGGCACAGTGTTAGGAGAACTAATTAGCAGTGCAATCTGAATTGCAGGTCAAAAAGAAGGGTACTTCAGCTACAGCCTCTTTCATTCATCCATCTAACAAACATGGATTTAGTATCACTCTGAGCAATACAGGATAGGGCAAAAGTATGTTTACAGTTGTGAGTGCGAGAATACAGAATTTATTCTTACATTATGTATTAATTATTGTATTATCTTCCACATGAACAACTGTAAACCTACTTTTGCCCCACCCTGTTAGGTTCTGGAGACCCTTGGATTTTAACAAGACTTGCCTTGCCATCACGGGGCTTCCACTGTAGCAGGAAGACAGATGTAAAGAAAGAATTACCTAATTTTACAGGATGCCATGTAGCAGGTAACTGGGTCAGGAGGGTATCTCAGAGGAAGTGTCCTCTGGGTTGGGTTCTGAAGAATCTACCAGTCAAAAGTTGGAATGGTCCTGTGCACACAGAGGGGGAGAGGAGGAGAAAGAGAATACCAGGTAGAGGAATGACATGTGCAAAGGCCCTGTGTGGTGAGGGGCGTGTCAGAAAAACAACCCAAAGACATTCAGACAGGAGAGGGTCAGAGTAGAGGGAGACAATGCTATCTGGAGAGACCACAAAATACTTTATATCTACACTTGGAAAACTGTTCCTGTGAAGGACCAGATAGTAAATATTTTGCCAGCCAACAGGCAAAAATCAATGATATTACATATGTATTTATTTTTTTAAGATTTTATTTATTTATAGAGAGAAGGGAAGGGAGGGAGAAAGAAAGGGAGAGAAACATCAATGTGTGGTTGCCTCTTGCACACCCCCGACTGGGGACCCACCTGCAACCCAGGCATGTGCCCTGACCAGGAATCCAACCAACAACCCTTTGGTTTGCAAGCCGGCACTCAATCCACTGAGCCACACCAGCCAGGGCTTATTATATATGTATTTATATGACAAGAGTTAAATTTGCACAAAGTTTTTATTGGTTGAATTTAAAATAATAATAATTGAATATATTTTTAATATAACTCTACCAATGTAAAGAATAGAATACTGAGAAAATAACATTTTGCTTAACTAGTGTTCTCTATTATCAAAATTGATTATAAACATTTACTTTTAAATGCTGATTAGAAGTGTGATTTTTATCATTATATAAATTTTTTTAACACAAATAAGCATTGCCAACAATGATACAGTCCATAATTACATAATTTTAATTGATCATATTTATGCTTAGCAAGCACTTACAGAATTCTATTAGAGTTTTCTCTTGATATTTGCTAACATGTCTTTACATTGTGGGTTAATCACTTATAATTGAAGGTGAGCTAAAGCTCCTCAATTGCCTCTTTAAATTGATTTTTGAAGTTTGAAAATCTCCATTGCACTGACATCAAAATACAAAAAATACTGCTAGAACCACAGTTCAAGCTCGGAAAACATCTCCACCATGAATTTACGTGGGATGGAGATGTCACTTCTCATTTAATCTTTGAACAAGATGGGAAGTTCATAAAACAGCTCATTATTGTTTATGATTCAAAAATGTTAGCTGTTATCGAAATGACTTTACCACAGTATGAGTTTGGCCTGTGAGTGGCAGTTTTGCCTTGTAATTTTAGGGTCAGTTCATTAAGAAATGCTATCAAGTCAGTAGCAAAAGCTAATGTCCAAAGCCATTAAGTGTTCAGTCACAGTGATTGAGAGCAATTTTCGTTCAGAAAAATTCTAATGCCAGCACTGGGCTCAAAAACTCACAATAAAACATAATCACTACTAAGTCACCAAACTGCTTATAGTAGAACAAGTCAGGCTGGTCAGCTTCTAGATCTGATAAAAAATTTACAAAACTGATGACGGTTAATTAAGTTCATGAGAGCAAAGGAGTTCATCATGGACACTGCTGGTCCTGCATCCCCTAAGAGACTTGAACATTTTCCACAGAGCACTAACTCATGGATGACACAGTGAATAAGCTTTGAACATCTGACATTTCACAAGCTTTGTGGATTTGACCAACGAAGGCTCTTTCTGCTCCCACGAGGTTTTCCTCCACTCTCAGTTGTCAGCCCATCCTACAGGTTCCACTCAGTTGTTCTGCACTTGTGTTTCTCACCCTTTTTTAAATTTTCTCATTCAAAGTTGTTCACATGGACTCTTCATAGAGGCAAATTCTTTTGTCACATCTTACTGGGCAGCATCTGCTCCAATAAACAATTGAAAAGTACAGTAATATGTGTCAGTTCATGAAGAGCCAAAGAAAATCACTCAAAATTATTTGTCTCCTTTTTTAATTGATTAATTAATGTTGCTGCCAATGTTAACTTTTTGAGTAACTGTTCTTGCCAAAAGGATAATAGTCTTAACTGGGTTTATTTTCTCTGGACACATTTCTTCAGCTGCTGCAATAAAACAAGGCTTCATTAACTCACCAAGGGTAAACTGTTTCCATTGGTTGGCTAACAAATGAGCCACTTGGAAACGAAATAACTCATTTAATTTTTTATTTTTACTCATTTTTATTTTTGTAAGAAATTATCCTATGGTGAGCTATTCTTTTTAAATTTTCTGAACTTCTGACCATAATTTTCCTGGTAGTTGGGAATATTGTGGCAAAAGCTGCTTGGCAATGTTGGTGTAGAGTCTCTTCTAGCACAGCTGGGATGACATTGTGTGATAAATTCAATGTTTTGCCCTCTGTTTATAACAGAATAATCCACACATCACTGTACCTTAAAGGTGTAACATTCAGAGTCCACTTTTCTCTTCTTGTTTAGCATGATGGTATACACTGGTAATAAAAAATAAATAAAACAATGCTATGGTATAGCAATACGTATGGCACTCAAAACACAGTCACCTTGAAACAGTGTCACTGTGATGTGCCATGTGCTGCATAGTATGTGAAGCAAGAGTGCTGTCACAAGTACTCAGGCCTGATATTGCAGCATGCTAGCAGCTGTAGGTGTTAGGCAAATAGATGAACGTGACTATGTTCCAATATAACTTAATGGACAGTGGAATTTGAATTTCATAAAATTTTCACATGTCAAGAAGTAGTATTTTCGGTTTGCTTCTTCTTAACCATTTAAAAATGTAAACATGATTCTTGACATGTGGGCCATACAAAAGTGGGTGGCTGGCTGGGTTGAGCCCAGTGGCCGTCAACCCTGCTTTACACCGTGGTGAGCCGACTGGGCTTCACTTTCATTCAGAAGGTCTACCTCTTGTAGGCGCCAAGAACGTTTTCCTGAAAAGCCCATGCAAGTCCTGGAGACACTAATCGAGCAGGTAGTCTAAGATCATGCATCTCCTTGCAGGATGGTACCCGAGTTGTAGGGACATGTGGTGGTTACTGTGGAAAATGTACTCCGTCCTCAGGCACTGGCCTGGAAGTTCGAGTTCTTTAGTTAAGGTAAGTTCGCTTTTTCCTTCCTTCTTTCCTCCTTCCTTTCTCTTTAAGATTTTTTGAATTTATTTATTTTTGGAGAGAGGGGAAGGGACGGAGAAAGAGAGGGAGAGAAACGTCAATGTGAGAGAGAAACATTGATCGGTTGTCTCTCGCACAAGCCCAGACCCAGACTGAACCTGCATCCCAGGCATGTGCTCTGACCGGTAATCAAGCCAGTGACCTTTTGCTTTGCAAGATGATGCCCAACCTACTGAGCCACACCAGTCAGGGCCCCTTCTTTCTATTCCTCGCTCTCTTTCTTTGCCCCTCCCTCCCTTCCCTCTTTCCTTCCTTCCCTCCTCCCTCCCTCCCTTCCTTCTCTCTCTTTCCTTCCTTCTTTCTCTCTACATTTCTATCTCATTCTTTCTGTGGCTTAATGATTCCAAATGTGGCCAGGTCTGATGCCCACAGACAGGTGACTATTAAGCATCTAAACGCTATTTCACCTTTTCCTCTCCTGCTCATCTGTCCTCACACTTGAGGTCCCCAGGCTTCCTGCATCATATTTTCCTGCAATGCTTATTAAAAATGCTGCTTAGTGGGATCCATCTCTAGAGGTCCTGCTTCATTAGGTCTCTAGTAGATCCAGGAATCTGTATTTGTAGTGCAAGGAATTCTGATGCAGATGACTTAGATCAATCTTTGCAAAATACTGCCTAGGAATATAATAATGTAATAATAATAATAAGAGGAAGAAGAAGGAAGATGAGGAGGGGGAGGGGGAGGAGGAGGAGGAGGAGAAGAGGAAGAAAAAAGAAGAAAGAAGGAGGAGGAGGAGGAGAGGGAAGAAGAAGAGGAAGAAGAGGAAAGAAGAAGGAGGAGAAGGAGAAGAAGGAGGAGGAGGAGGAGAAGGAGAAGAAGGGGGAGAAGGAGAAGAAGGGGAAGAAGGAGGAGAAGGGGAGGAGGAGGAGGATGGGAGGAGGAGTAGGAGGGGGAGGAGGAGGAGGATGGAAGGAGGAGGAAGGAGGAGAAGAATGTTCACTGCTCCCTAGGTGTCAGGCACCATGCTAAGCATACCTTGCAGGCATTATTTCATTGAATCCTCACAAGAAAGCCATAAGATGGGGCTGTGATCCTCATGTTACAAATGGAAACTGGGCCCCACAACAGTTAAGACAACAGTTAAGTATCTTGCCTGTAGGCACAATGAGATCCTTTGACAGAACCCAGACCAAAGCCACTGTTCTCATTACTGCACTGTTACACATACTTTCAATGCACAGTGGGAACTTGCTAAAAATGCAGAATCTCAGGATTCACCCTAGACCTATGACACCAGAATCTGCATTTTAACAAATCCCCAGGAGAGTCATACATGTTAACATTTGATAACCCTTGGTCTAACTACATTATTCCAGCCGGTGCTTCCTCTGCTCGACAGAGGACTGAACTGGTCGTTCTTTTTCTCATCCCAGTGCCCTCAGCTACAAGAGGTGAATTCAGCCTACTCACGTGACCACCCACTACAACTGTCCTCAGGTTTCCAATGGCCCATTACCCCATAAAGCACTTCACGATCCTGACACAGGAGTACCTAGTTGACATTTATAAATCAGTATTTCAGTGTTTAATTAAACATCTTATTCAAGGTTGTGGTCTTAAGTTAGGATTATTTCCACTGCAAGATGCAAAAGAAAAAAGGAAACTTGTTGTCTTAAATAACTGAGCCATCTAAGCAGTGGTCTGGCTTCAGGCATGGCTGGATCCAGAGGCTCAAAGTCACCTGACTCTTTCTTCATCAATCAGCAATGCTTGTCCCTTAAATGGCTTCATTCTCAGGCAGATCATCTCCCCCACACCATGTCCCCTAGCAGCTCTAGGCTTACATCATCCTTAACAGCTCTTTGTGCCAAGTAAATGCTCACCTCCAGCATCCATTTTGAGATGGCTCTGGCTCTGATTGAGTCACACAGGTACTCCTGAACCAGTCACAATGTCCAGGAAATGGACATCATGTATCCACCCAGAGTTGAGTGACTGACAGTTTCATTTGAAAGAAACATGGTTCCCAAAGCACAAAAAGAGGTTTGTTATCAGAAATGGGGAGATGGGATGAAGGCAGGCAAAGTCAGCAAGTATCCACTAGAAATCCCCATTATATGTGTATTTTACATATTGTATATCTAGTAAATAATGTGTATGTGTTTTACATGATATTTACATATATGTATAGAAAAAAGCCTAGAAGAAAATATACCAATATTTGAAGAGGGTTATCTTAGGTGGGAATTTCAAGCTAGTGATTTTTTCATTCTTTATGCTCTCCTGAAATGGACATGTTTCTGATAGCAGATTTACATTACTTTTAAAATCTAAAGAAAATAATGTATTATTGTTAAATTCTATATGTAAAAATGTATAGATTACCTACTCTTGACTTATGGCATTTGGGACAGAAGATTTACCTTTCTTGGTTGATTTGTTTGTTTTCAGGTGCTCTGAAGAGGAAGCCACGATGGAATGGATGAAGGATAGTAATGCAATACCTCCACCTTAAATTTGGGCGTGTGTGTGCATGTGTGTGTGGCCTTGTACGCTTGTGTGTGTGTACATATACATATGCATATATACACATATATACACACACATATATCTGTATATGTGTGTGTATATCTGTGGAATATCCTAATGATGTAAAGTTTAATATTTATGTTTGAATTATTTATTGTGATGTATGTAATATTTTTGTACGTAAAATGATTCTATTATGACTGCTTTTTGCATTATTTTGTTTCTTGCAGTCAGACCACTGCATTTTACGTACTCTACATTATATGTAGTATTATGACAAAAGTGATCCTTCATCACGGTACACTATTGTTTACGTTCTATCTGTAAATGTTTTATTGTTAATGTTTTAAATTGTAATTTGTTTTTTTTTTTAAAAATCTAGTCATTATCAAGGTGCTACAGGGGTATTTTTGGCATTTCTATGAAAGCATCATTAGCCAACAAAGAATTTAGTGATGTCACAGGTTATACCAGCTATTAATTACATTAGGTATCTATTCAGTTTCATGTGATCTCTGGGAACAAAATTTATGCCTTGGTGCTAATATTTAAGTGATCATCAGACTTAGAAATGTAAACACACTTAGTAAAAGGGAGGAACCGAAGGACTTTTTCCAATGGACATAATCGTTTAATAAAATAAGACCAGCTGTTTACCCTTACTTTGGGACATGCCCTTTTTGGGAGAGAGTTGTACTCTGTTCTCTTCACTGTTATTTTTATTAATATGCTTTGCTTCAGTTCATGGTGCCTCAGGCCTCCTGTGGGTAAATGGAGGTTTCCACAAGCAACCTCATCACAGAGTGACCTTGAGAAAGCAAGGTCCTCTCAGCATTTTGCCAAGATATTCTGAAATGATGTCCAAGTTTACCAGTTGCAAGACAGAGGATGCATAGGATGGGGACGACCTTCAGCAGCCCCGGAATATCTGGAGAAGTTCAGAACCAGGTTCTTAGTCATTGCCTCTTACATGAAAACATTGGCTGGTGACGTGACTTGTCTTCAGGCCCTGAGCCTAAGACTCTGCCGGTGTTCACGGCTGCTGCAGGAACTGGTATTTGTGGCAAGAAACGACCTCTGGAGCACAAGACACCTGAGTCTTTCTGATCATCCATAATCCACTCTGTTACTCCTTTCCAAATTGGAAGTGCCAAAGCCACGGTCTCTCTGCCCTTCCAACCTGATCAGAGGGAAGTCATTGCCAATGCCCCCTGGCAGACACTTGCTTGGAGAAATCCTGCCCACTTCTAACACCAAAGAGATTAGAAAAAAACCAGGCAGTATTCTCCAACCCCCAAAAACTCCAGAGTGCTCCAGGAGAAGTTATACTCCGTGTATGAATATGTGCTTTTCGCCACTATTAACACATTGTGAAAATATGCTATGAATAAATACCACGACCACATTCAAACATTTCTGTTTCACATGGTTTATGAACTCTTGATTCAAGTTGGAGTAAAAATGTCTCTCGTTTTTAAGATTGCCAGATTAAGAAGAAATTTTAGATTTTTTTAACCCTATCAATTACAGTTGCTGTTTTAGAGACACATAAGGAATAAGAACTATCCCCAAGTCTGTCTTTTTATCACACAAATCAGTTGAAGTGGCTTTTCCAAAAATCAGAGATATAAACCTCTTGTCTGTGCGATGGGGAACAAATGAGCTAACAAACCAGATTTAAGTGGGATTTGAGAGCTTAATTGTCAGTTTTTTTCCAACAGTAGTTTATATGCTACAGGCTGATGGTGTCCAGAGAAATGAGATATTTCCAAAGAAGTCTAATAGCAAGTGGCTTTTCACCATATACCAGGTTCTTTACTGAATTGTTTTAGCTCATCCTCACAACTGCCAAGGAAAGCAAGTATAGATTTACATCATTTGATGGATAAGGAGACAGAGCCTTTGAGATGTAAATAGGTCCATGTTCACAAAGAGTGACTATGTGGCAGTCCCCAAAGAACTCTGTCTGACTAAGTTACAAGGCCACTTCTGGACCCCTCACATAGTCCAGTGTGGGTGGGATCAAGAACTAAGTGGGATCATGTGTCCAGAGATTGAGAGCTTCAGTTGGAAAAGAGACAGTTTCCAAAAGAGAAGAGTTTTGTTATCAGAAAAGGGTAGGTGGCATGAAGACAGACAAAAGTAGGAGACCACTCTAGATTCTAATTGTGTATGTGTTTCTATGCATGCACATACATGCATGTGTGAGCATTTGTATGCATGCACATGTGTATGCCAGCATGTGTGAAATTTTCAAGTCCCATAGCTCACATCATAGTCCCAGTCCCTTGTCATTCCTCAACATCACCTGAAACCTGGATTCTCATCCTTTCTCTAGCATCTGCTAACTGAATGATCCTGAGCCTTGGTCTCGTCATCTGTAAAGCAAGGTTATTGATAGTTCTCCCATCTACCCTGCAGGATTAAGTGTTTTCTGAAGACCCTTTGAGCCCTCCACCATTCATGGCAAAAGAACTGCCCTCAAAAGGTGCATTATTAATTTCAAGTGTAAGCTGACAGATGTGAAGGCCTGAGTTCTGTGTCAATTAGGAACTGTGTTCCGCTGCTGATTACGGAGACTGACCACAGTAGTTTACACATTGAAAAGTGTGCTTTACTATTATGTAAAATAAACCAGGAGAGAGGCAATCCAGGGCTGGCATGGCAGCTCCACAAAATCATCAGGAACAGAACATTTTTTTCTCTACTTCTCAATTTTCCGTATTTCAATGTGGCTGCTAGAGCTCAAGCAATCACTCCCAAATTCAAGGCAACAAGAAAAATGGAATGGGAGGAAGTGTAAAAAGTGGCCTGGTCCCAGATCTCTGTCTTTTTTAAGAGTTTTCCTAGAAACCTCTTAAAACCCAACAGTTTCCACTTAACGCTCCTCAGCCAGAATTTAGTCCTGTGGCTGCACCCAGGCTGCCGGGCATTGGGGAAATGGGGCACGGAGTGTCTTGTCAAACTGCGTGCAGTGAGGGATCTGTTCCTAGGAAAGAAGGCAAGTGGATTGGAAAGAAGCAAATGGAAGTCTCTACATTAGGTTCAGGTACAGAGACGGGGGAGGGAATGCTTTGGAAGCAGTAATCAGAGCAAGGAAGAGATCATAGAAGCTAGGCTAGAGCTGTGGCCATTGTAATGGTAGAAAATGACAGTGATATGGGTGGTAAAATGAACAGGCACTGATGACAGACAGGTTCAGGGTGGACTGTGGGAGAGAAGGCACTGACTGGTATGTGAACATGGACCTATTTACACCTCAAAGGCTCTGTCTCCTTATCCATTGAATATATAAATCTATACTTGCTTTCCTTGGCAGTTGTGAGGATGAGCTAAAACAATTCAGTAAAGAGCCTGGTTATGGTGAATGTCCACTTACTATCAGACTTCTTTGGAAATATCTCATTTCTCAGAACACCATCAGCCTGTAGCGTATAAACTACTGTTACCAAAAAAAGGACAGTTAAGCTCCCAAATCCTACTTATATCTGGTTTGTTAGTGCAAGATGAGATTTCACATTGCTCCCAAATACAAACAGGATGATGGAAAGGTGACTGGGTGGGTGGATGAACAGACAGATATAATCTGGTAGAATCCGTTAATTCTTTACATTTTTATAGCACTGTACAAATTAATATTGTCTTTTTATTCTATTCATTAATTTATTTATCCAGATAATAAGTATTGCATTTCTACTAACTCCCAAGCTCTGTTCTAGGCACTGGAGGTCAGCAGTGTACTAGGAGGCTGCCCTCTAGGGCTCCCATATCAAAATGCCAGAGATTGGCTTGTTTAGGCTACAGAAATTTATTTTCTCACAGTCTAGAAGTTAAAGATCAAGGTGCTACTGGGGTTGGTCTCTGGTGAGGCTTCTCTTTCTTGTTTGTATACAGCCCTCTTCTTGCTGTGTCCCCAGGTGGCCTTTCCTCAGTGCAAGGACGGCACAGGGGGAGAGAGAGAGACCTGCTGTTTCTTCCTCTTCTTATAAGGACCCCCTCCTATTTGATTAGGGCCCCACCCTTATGACCTCATTTAACCTTAACCCCCTTATAAGCCCTAGCTCCAGATACTGTCACATTAGGAGTTAGAGCTCCAACATATAAAATTTGGAGAGACAACGCACTTCATAACAGAGTCTATGGCAAAGAGACCCTGAAATAAGATGAGCATTTATTCCTCTCTCGTTTGCTGTGCAGAGGTGAGCAGGCAGTCGGACCTGGTGGGTGACTGTCCGGCATGGCGTGAGAGGACTAGGGCTCCTTCTGTTTTGTGGCTTGGCCATTCTCAAAGGCATTGCCCTTACACAGCTCGTCCTCACCATGTCTGTGTCTAGCCAGCAGGAAGAGGATGATCATCTAAGGCAAGACCTGGAAGTTAAAGAATAACTTTTATTCACAACTCACTGGCAATTGCTTAGATGCATAAGCTCACGATGTCGCAAGAGAGACTAGGAACCACGCACCCAGCTCCTGCCAAGTGGAGGTGGAGCTGCTGTTCTAAGAGGAAGGAGGGAAGGCTGGCTATGGGCAGCTGCTTCTGCCACAAGCGGCAAACAAAACATACAAAAATCTCTGCTGCTTGGAGCTTACATTTTAGTGGTGACAGACAAGAGAAAAATAAGCAAATAAACAAGTATTGGGTTGGCAAAAAAGTTCATTTAGTTTTTTCCATACAATAACTCTAGTAGTGGTCTTGAAGTTCATTCAAGACAATTTTGTTAGATTGTATTGTGACAGCTGTCATATCAGTGTGCATTTTTAAAAAACATCAAAGTTGGTGAATTTGGGGGCAGCCATTTTAGCATTAAGGATGGAAGAAAATGTGCAACATTTTCAATGTATTATGCTTTATTTCAAAAAGTAAAAATGCAACTGAAACACAAAAAAAGATTTGTGCAGTGTATAGAGAAGGTGCTGTGATGGATTCAATGTGTCAAAAGTGG